AGCACCAGCCTGTTAGGGGGGCATCTAGTCCTAGTCGATCTCCTGAGGGCCTGGTTCTCATCTGGGACCTCAATCTTGGGAGTCGGAATGCTGGAAGTGTCATAAAGTAAGTCCAGGGCTAGCTGATTGTCTAATCTCGTTCGGTGCCTGAGCTGGTTAGCATGTCTTCTTAGAGGTCTTGCATTTGTTTCGATTTCAAAAACTACGCCGTTTGCTTTTTTGATTCTACCCTTCATCCAGGGGTCTCCTGCAGCATAGTTTCGTAAGTATACCTCTTCGACCTCCAGGAAATAGGGTTTTCTTGACTGGACATCTCGGAACACAGGCTTCAAGTACTGGAGACGCACATCGGGTTGTCTGCCCAGAAATCTTTATGCTAGAGTTGATCCGCCTAGCTCGGTCTTCGGTGTCGTTCGGTAGGCTAATAGGAACGTGTTCAGGTGTTCCATCTTGACGCCCGAGTTTCACGTCTTTCTCATTGTCCTTTTAAATGTGCCGACAAACCTTTTGGCCTGGCCGTTTGATTGAGGATGGAAGGGCGGCGATGTTATGTGTTTTATTCCCCACTTTTTGGCACATCTGCTGGAATGTTGCTGCGGTGAATTGGATCCCATTATCGGTTACGATCTCAGTTGACACAGGACCACACTAGGTTACAACAGTGGCGACGCAGGTGAGATCAACTTAGCCTATAACCAGTGTTGACACAGGAACACACTGAGGTTACAACACCCCCTGCCCAGGTTTGATAAAAAAAACACTAACCGTAGAACGTGCAGGAGACAAAACAGTTTGTTTAGCTTTTTAATGCCGAGAGGCGTCAAGTTTTAGTCAAAGACAGTATACCTAATTTGTGCAAGTATGAAGAAATAAACTAAAGAAAACCGTTTTTTTACATCCTAAGTACGACCAGGGAGGGGGTATGGGTTTTCGTATATAGTTGTGTCGAGCAACACACGGTAGCCCGAATCTCTAGTCAGGTAAGACAGAATTGGGAGGAACAGTTTTACTGCGGGAAGAATAACTGTACAGAAGTTGTGTCACCAGCAAGTTGCCGCGTAGGTCTGCACACCAGGTGTGTCTGGGGAAGTTGTGTTGCTTTGCCTGCGCGATCTTGTGCTCCCTCGTCTGCAGAGCCAATCAATCTGAGCGGGTGTATCGATTGACCTCAAGTGTACGCGCGTTTACAGCAGCGAGTCAATTGATAGCGTTTGAAAAGTCGACGCGAATTAATTAATCATGCGGCATGCAAGTTATGGCAGCTGAGGATAGGATAAGTGACGTTCAGTTAGTCACTGCTAACGCCACCGTAGTTCACTGTACACTCTACGTCTCTTCTCTTTTGACTCTTCAAGTATTTAGGCTAGCACGTTACCCAATCCACCACGAAATTGAGTAAACCTCCTTTTACTGAACTGTCTCCGTTGCTTGCCTCTGTTTTTTTTAAAGCGCCTACCCCGCCGAGTACCTATCGAGGGCAGACCTTCTTCAAGAGGCGCGATTTTCGGAAGAGCTACTCCAAAGCGCCAAGTCGCCCATTGCCTTTTGCCACAACGACCTTTTTCTAGGCAACATGCTTATATCGCCTAATCAGGGTACGTCCAAACGCCCTTCTCTTCTTCCTCTCTCCACCTTGAGCCACCTTGTTAGCGTATGTTCAGATATTCATGTCGGGCTTACATTCCGTTGATGCGCGTCTCCATATTAAGTCCTCCTCCTCCTGCAGTCAAGGCAAGTTTTTTTGGCAAAATGTTCCGTCATCTGCATGGGATTCGTATTTGTCATGACGTGATGATAAGTAGAATCAAAACACGTTTGCATTTTGTCCCGCGCTCGCTCTTTGTGACCAGAGTTATCCGACCCGCCCCCCCCCCTCCCAGCCCCAGAATCAGCAGCGGCAGCATTCACTATGCTTCTTTCGTCACCCCCGTTAAGTGTTTTTTTTGTATCCTTGTAGATGCTGTCTCATTCATTGACTTCGAATACTGCGGCTATAATCACACGGCATACGACATTGCTGACCACTTTTGTGAATTTGCTGGCGAGTCTTGTTTCATATTATGTTTCTGCATCACTGATTGCCTTTGATTGTCACGCGTGGTGAGTTTTGTCGGTAGCTATCAGCAAGGAAGTATCTGGCCGCATCTTCCGCACTGTCGTGATGATCCCAGTGACCTCTGCGATGCCCTGCCTGTGCGACAGTTTTTTTTATCCTCGTGTCATTTGGCATCGCCAAATAAGCTGAGGTGCTATTTTTGGTATTACAACACACATGTACACAAAGGTATACACACACATCTACATGTGCCTCAAATACACTGATACTGAGGAACCTTATAGATCATTTTTGTTCACTGGAATGTGTTTCTTTTTCTGTTGACGTTTCGGACAGCTGGGCCGGCTGTCTATTATCAAAGCGAGAACGGACTTTATCGATCATCAATTCAAATTTTTGGCTGTGTGTGTTAGCCATAGGCTGATGGGTTTTTCTACGTTCGCTGCTTGGACCTGCGCGTGGATTTTGGCGTAACTTGATGGTAGTGTTGTGTTCCGTCCCCACGGTAGGGGATGCTGGTAATCCTGCTCCCTCTTCCGATGGTTTCTTCACGGGGCCATCTTTGTTTGCAACTCCTAGGTTCGGCTCGACCAGTTCCTGTCCTTTACTAACGTAATGGTGTAGGACTTTGTAGGTCGCGGGGAGATCCAGATGCCTGTTGACAGAGTTGGAGCCTGAATACCATGCCTCAGGCGTCAGTCTTTCCGCTTTTGAGGTTCCCTGGCCTACAACGGCCGCGCCTTGAATGTCGAAGTTATGACCATTCTTTAGGTTGCATCACTCGGCGGCATATTGTCGCCTGAGGTCGATGGGCTATGCCACGCGCAGGGCCAAGCAGCGGACGGAGAAAAATCGATCAGCCAATGGCCAACACACACAGCCACAACTTTGAATTGCTGATCGATAAAGTCCGTTCTCGCTTTGACAAAGGATAGGCGGCCCAACTGTCCGAAACGTCAGCAGAAAAAGCAACACATTCCGGTGAGCAAAAGTGATCTATGATTCTAAACCAGGAATTCGTACTTTTTTCAAACTTGAACTGATATACCTATTGACAACTATTTTTTTTCAATTTTTATACTTGGATTCTTAACCCGAGTTTTTGCTTTCATAGGCAATCGAGACATCGATTTCTCTCGTTGCCCCTCGCAGGCAATGCAACGTGACTGGTTGAGTGTATACCTGTCCACCCTGAAG